GAATATTTAATCAGTTATTTCGGAATTCGTCCGTGGACCCGGCTAGAAACCAGCTCGACGAGTTCGCGTCTTTGACGGGACGCTCATTGAACTTTCCGTCTGTGACGTCACCTTCGGACACACCGTTATATTAGGTTCGCGCCTAAAGAAGTCATCGCTGAATTGTGTTTGTCTGGAAAATGGAAAACGGAGTGGTGGAGAACTGGGAAGATGAAAAGTGGAAAATAGAAAATGGAGAATGTGAAGATGGAAAGTGGGAATACGAGGAGACGGAAAAGTGGAAACTGGAAAAGTTGAAACTGGAAATGAGGAGATGGAGCAGAGTAAAAAGACAGAAGCTAGGAAACCGTCAGCTCTACTCTCTCCTCATCATCAACGCCTGTACAAATGTCGTCTGCTAGAAAAGTGGAAAATAGAAAATGAAAAATGTGAAGGTGAAAAGTGGGAAAACGAGGAGACGGAAAAGTGGAAACTGGAAAAGATGAAACTAGAAAATGAGAAGATGGAGCAAAGTAAAAGTCAGAAGCTAGAAAACCATTAGCTCCACTCTCGCAGTCCCCATCATCACTGCCTATACAAACGTCATTCGCTGATAATCATCCGGAAGTTGAAACTGGGAAATGAGAAGATGGAAAAATTGGAAAACGAGGAAATGGAAAAGTGGAAAATGTGAAGATCAAAAATGGGAAACCGAGGAAATGGAAAGGTGGAAACTAGAAAATGGAAAATGGGAAAACGAGGAGACGGAGAAGTGGAAACTGGAAAAGTTGAAACTAGAAAATGAGAAGATGGAGCAGAGTAAAAACACAGAAGCCAGAATACCATTAGCTCAACTCTCCCCCCATCAACGCCTATACAACCATCATCCGCCAATAATCATCCGGAAAGAAGCCAGCTTCGGTTCCAATTAGCTTCATCCGGCTAGCTAGATAATGCGGCTGGTAGATGCAATCACAGAGCGACCAGTTTAGCCAGAGTTCTCAGTGCTGACCACCAATCAGTAGAGACTATTAAGGTCGAGATCGCGTATCGATCGGTGGAACGGTTCCGCGAGTAGCAGTCACGTCTCAGGTGAACGCACGACGTCTGAAGGATATCGTTGCCCTGAGCTAACTTCGATGATCGCTTGAGTTAGGTCAAGTGGAGGCCGGGAACGTTGTCGTTCCCGAGGTCGAGGCTCCGTTCCCTGCGATCGTATCGTGGACCGTCTGCTACGTGACGAAGATCGTATCTCTTCGCGGCTGGGAGTGGGTAGAGGTCTCAGTCGACCGCTGGCCGACGTTTGATCGACTCGTCCGCGCCCTGGAGGGACGGGGACGCGGCTCTGTTTTAGACGCCCACGGTTTGGCAGGGCGCAAACGCGGCGAAATTATCGACACGCCGGCACGTACACGCGTGTTTACACCGCTGATTGATGTAATGGGCCGTGAGCTGTCGAAACTGCGGATCGGCTCCTTGGACCGTGGACGACCGGCGTCGTAGATCGCGGTCTGGCTCTGATAGCGTTGACTGCCGGGTCGCTTTTAAAAGAACTTTATCGTAGCTTTTAAGGCGAACGCGAGGAGTTTAGTGTCAGACGTAACACGAACTTATTCTACTTAGGATCTCTCTTGCAGCCTCTGCTTGCTTTAATGTAATTCCCTTTTATTCGCTGAAGATAGGATTGTAGCACGGTAGTCGGAAGAAGCGTTTACTCGCTTCACGTCTCTTCGGGTCTTTTTCCTGTAATGCAATTCCGCTTTTCTTCTCCCAGATATAATTGCTGCAGAGTGGACTGAGCAAACGTGTGGTTGGCTTACTTGTTAGCTTCATCGCAGTCTGCCTGTCATGACAATCTACTTCCCGAGTAGTAACTGTTAGTTCATAGTCCGGTGTATCACGAATTTATTCCACTCGTCTATTTCGTCGCAACGTGTCCTTTCAAAGCAATTCGCCGTCCGTTTATGCACTCGCGTGTTCAACGGACCCTTCCCGCTCCTAACGACCCTGGTTTCATAAGATCATCAAATCGCAAAGCAGGGCAAGCACACGCCAAATGATAGGTAGTCGCCAGAGATGGAATAAGGTGCACGGGGTAAATTGGCGCGCGGGGCGAGCGGAGGCCGGGGATGGGGCTGTTCCAGTTTGTTTCGCGCCGGAACAAAGGAATCTCGGATGACAAATGCCAAGCGTGCACGCGGTCAACCGGCTCCGCGAGCAAAGAGTCGCTGGCCGGGCTTGCAGGGTGGTAGCTGGGTGGAAAGATTGGACGTAGGAGGGCGGAGCGCGGTTCTCACAAAGAACTAGCCATGAAAAATAATACCCGGCTTGCCTGGCTACCTGGCCGCTGCGAATTACAGGTTTTTCCCGGGCCGCGGCTACAATCTACGTCCTCGTGCATGCTGGCGAACTATTGGTAATGAAGTTGCCCGCAGCACGACCAACATTGACTACCTGCCACGGTCACGTGGCGTTGAGGAGTCTTTCAAAAAGTCAATGCTTGACGTTGCTGTTCGTTAGCCAGCGCACGCGTGTCTGGAAAGCTTGACAGGCACGATGACTTGCTCTCGCGACAAAGGAAACACTTAACCGCTTCGTTTCGGGAACGTCGATGTTGCTTTGTCGCGCGTCGTTTGAATGATTGCTGGTTTCTTGGTTCGTTAATAACCGATGCAGATCAATGTCTTGTCACGGGCCGGAGAGGCGCGCGTTTATAGCTGACCGGGTATCGGCTGATCCGCTGGCTGCGTTTGACAGATACGATGACAGGCATCGCTCGGAATGCACCTAATTCCCCGCGCGAGAGAACTTTTGTCGGGCTGAATAAGGCCTGCGAGGGTTTCAGCGCCGCGAAATTGAGGCGTCGCGGATTAATCGAAATTTCAATGGGCCAAGTTTGAGAAGGACGAATTTCCTAATGATTCACGCGGAGCGCCGCGAGCGGTGTTGTTAGCGAACTCGCGGCGCGCCTGCCATTAACTCGATAGGGCGGTCAAGTGGTGCTGATAAGTCACCGAAAAGTTGACTACTCGCGGTGTTCGTTCTTTTCCTTTGCGTCTGCGGAGAGACGTTGAGTGATCACTGTTGTGACAGATAGTTGTATGTACTCTGGTTTCCCTTAAAATCACGTATAAATCTTTCGCCTTTTACTACAGATTTTCGTGGAGGGAACAACTGAGTCTATGAAATAATTTTTTATAGTAAACTTTTTAAGATGGGTTATTTAAAAAAAGAATATATTAACATCTCTTACAATTGATTTCTCAATGATCGATACACCTACTTTGTCAATAATTTATTGAAAAGACAAAAAATTCCCGTCTGTTTGAACGTATAATAATTAATGAAGAATAATATTTAATTTAAATATTAAGCATGCAAAGTTAGCCTTTAATTTATTCTCTCTGACCAAACACTTACTCATTCCACTAGTCTGACCACGAACCGACTTAATCCATTAATCTGTAAATTCCTCCGTTTCTACTTGGCTGACCCAACACGAACTTGTTCTACTTACGAACAAACATTTACTCATTCCACTATTCTGACCACGAACCGACTCAATCCACTAATCTGTCAAATCCTCCACTTCTACTTATCTAACCCAACAAACTCATTCTACTTACGAACAAAACATACTCCTCTGTCTGATCACAGACTCACTCTTTTCCCTAAGAATACAACATCCATCTAATTCCGCACTCTTCACACCGAATAGACGAGTGTAACATTAACTGAAACATTCAATCGCTGCCAGAGTCCAACAGCCTAATAAACAGCTCTCGATCGCAGAATTTCACTGGCCTTACGACTAGCCAAATCCCCGAAATATTCGCGCAACGCGAGGAATCGCGCCGGTATCGAAACCAATTTACATTCCCCCGGGCCCATTACCGCTCATACTTATTTCCTCGCGAAATTGCAGTCCGTTCCAGCGAAGTGGTCCGCGTGGACGGTTCGGAAGCACCGCGATTCCGAACACGCGGCAACCGGCGTAACGACAATATTTTGGTACGATCCAATCTTTCGCAGTGCAGTGTCGCGATCAGGTGGATGGAAAATATCCTGTTTCCAACGGACGCCAGGTGGTTCGTTGGCCCTCGACGGGCTGTACGCGTCCGCGTGTTCCCGTGTGTGCGCGTCTTTATAGGCGGAGCAGCGTTTCTCAATCCGTTCGACGAGTACCACCTGAGTTTCTCATCGGGCACTAAGCTTTTTACGGGACTCCCCACGCACGGGGATTTATTGATTCCGTATTGTAGGGTGCTTGTTGTTCTTACGATCCTCGTGAAACCTGCTCTGAGCATTCGCGTGCCTTCTGTTGAATATTTCGCAGTCGTAAATAGTGGAGAAGGATCTTGCTCTACTGAGGAGCTGGAGAATTTTCTGCGTTGAATATTTGAAAATTTCACGTTGCGAGTGTTTAGGTTTTGTGGAGTGAAGGGGAGATGGATGGGAAGATGGAGATGGGGAAATGGGAAATAGAGAGACGAGGGAGTAAGATTGTTGGGAACGGGAAGTCGGAAGAGGCGGGGAAATGGGAAAACGGAAAGGCTGGGAAATGAGAAAATGGAAAGGCCTTGGAAGTTGGAAAACGGAAAGATTGAAAGGCCTAGAAAATCAGAAAACGGAAATGCCTGGGAAATGGGGAAATTGAAAAGCTTGGAAA